TAGAAGAATAGAGAATATAAATGGACAAAAAGTGCACAACAAAGGGCCAAATAAAGTGAAGAAAATAGACGCCAAGAAAATAAGGAATAGAGAAAAATATGAAGAATAGAGAAAAAATGACTTACAAATTAAAAGACAAACAGGATTGAAAGACACCCCTTTCCCCCAATATTCAAGACCCTCGTATGTGTTCAAAGAAAATCTGCATACGCTATAGTTCCTTGCTATAAAGTTACGTTCTCAAATGTTATTTGCCCAAGCCTTTTGAATTAATCAATTCAATTTAAAAATCGGCTCTTTCCAAGTCAATTGTAACGTATTAACGCTCTAGATAACTCATATTATTGACAATTCTGTGTTAAGGGGGTCTCAAATTCAGTTAGACAGCTTCAGACGTACTAATATTTGACCTTTTTTAACTGGACCAAATCACTACTTAACATCAGAGACATATAATACAATTTATATGTCTCTGTTAACATAAAGATTCAGCACCCAATTTTTTTTAATATGTAATTTCATCCACTTACATAAAATTTCATGCATTAGATATCAAGAAATAAATTGGGAAAGTGTATTATAAAAAAAAAATGCTAGTTACACACTGTTCACACCACGACTTTAGGTAAACAAAAACCAAAGAACGATAACTGTGTCCTCGGACCATGTAATTACCTAACTCGAATTATTCAAGCCCTTAACGTCTCCGATTCTCTCCACCTTAGTTTATTTTGGCACCTTCTGCAGGAACGAAAAAAATGAATAGCAAAATCTAGTAAAGTTTTCAATATTCTGAAACTTAAAATGCATTTAAATTTTATTTATCTAGGTCCTGCCATACTGAGGGGGGTAGGAGGGGTCCTGATCCCGAAATCCCGGGCTTAAAAACATGGAATCCCGAGGTCCCGAATTTAAAAAAATGTAAATCCCGACATCCCGAAATTCGAAAAAAGAATTCCCGGATCCCGAAATCCCGAGCTTAAAAACACCCGATCCCGGAGTCCCGATAAAGGTCCTACCCCCCCCCCCCCACCCAATACTCTAAAAATTTTCAAGATGCACATGTTTGTCTGTACTCAGAGTGAAATTTGTAGTGTAAATACGGCCCTATTTGCGAAAAGGTTATGATGAACATTAACAGTCAGCAAACTGTCACACAAGAAATAGATTTAATGTCCGAAAACATGTGAAATAGACCACCTTTGTGAGGACATATAATAAAATATGTCGCATATATCTCGACTCCTCTTCGTGACATGTCATACAGAATTTTAATTTATACTGCACTCGTTCTATTTGAGCAGTCAAAATGCGTTGACCGTATATTTCTATGTCATATACAGTCACTGACCTGATATCACTTTTCCTCATGAATATTTAAATAGAAATTGCCGAAATTATAATTAATTATTCATACGACTTATTCAACCTGTTCTTGTTTCCAATGTATACAACGACTCAAACTTATTTCTTTTGCAATTTATAGTTTGCAAAACATATTTCACTTGTTAATATTTTTGGTTTGCAAACTATAAATCATTATGTTTTATGCTTATTAATTGTTGATATTTTAGTTCATTCTCAAACAAATTCGTTCACCATCGATTGCGGGTTTCAACAGGTAATGTACATTTCATTGTGTTGTATATTTCTCCGCCTGCATGGTATGAGGCCTTTTTATAAAAGGGGAAAGTTTTCCAATATTTAAATCAAATAATAACATTAACACATTAAACAACAATTGAAAATGCTTTTTTTAGATTGCAGTATAAAGACAATAATAGTGCATTGACTTGACATATCAACGATATAAGGATTCGGCCCGAAACGGGGAAAAAGCTCGGCAGAGCCTCGCATTTCCCCGTTTCTAAGCCTCATCCTTATATCGTTGATATGTCAAGTCAATGCACTATTATTGTCTATATATTGTGTGTTATGTGTACACCGCCACGTGTGAGTGATTTCAAAGATAATCAAAATGATGTAATTCATGTAGTATCTACCATGCAGCTACGCATCATCGCACGTAATATTGGACATCGCAAAAACCTAGTCTTTTTTTATGTGCATTGTAAGATATTCAAAATGATATAACACACATCAAATGAAAAAAGAAATGTTGAAGATGGACATAATTTTCTGATTTACTGGTGAATTAAAAATTCTATAGAATATCTGGAGCATGCATCTCGTTTATCTGGGTTTTTTATGCTAAGTTAGTATAATAAGTCAAAGTGTTGATCGAATTATAATTGTGTTTTGTCTTTTAAAATGTGTAGCCGTGTTATTTTGTTCACAGAACGAGGACAAATTGAAATTGACACAAAAGAAAAATAAAAAAAAAACAAAAATAAAAGTTATTACCGTACCATAAGTTGATTGATAATCATAAAAACTAAAATACTGTAAAATGAAATATATTTATTATACCTATTCCGACACACATGAGGCCACACTAAAAAAATATTTTAGTTTGCCCAAACCCTACCCAAAGGTAGAGACAGTGGGTAGGTAGGTAGGTAGGTAGGCAGGCATTTTCTTTCTTTTTTCGGCAAAGAGAAGTTGAAGTATCAGATATGTTTTAGTATACAGGACTATCTGATTTAAAAAAAACTTTTCAAATCAGGGCAATAAAAGATTTTTAGCAGCAGCTTTTTTCTGGATAGGTAGGGTTAGGGCAAACAAACATATTCTTTTTTATGGCCTGAGTTCAATTTATTAATCCCTCAAGGGATACCAGCTACCAAGGAGACATTTAATTTATCGGTACTCAAACCACTTCAATATTTTATTTCTCCGCGTGAGTACCTGATGAAACTTAGATTATTTCACATAGACGGACCAAGGATTAAAAAAAATAAAAGTAGTAAAAAATATATCATTTATTAGCTAGCACACCAGTGGCGGATCCAGAAATTTTCATATGCATTGGCTGCCTAAAAGGGGGCTCGCTCTAGTCATGCTTCAGTGATTCCCTACATAATCAACCAAATTTTTTTTTCCAGAAAAGGGGGGACCTGCCCCTTCTAAATCCGCTTCTGCCACACTATATTTAAAACTATATTGTATTTATACATTCGGTCTTGCATGGTGAACTACTATTAAAATTAATTCGTACCCCAGTCTTCGAGCTTAACCACGAGTCCTACAGCCATGGCGTACAGAATTGTTTTGGGGCTTGTAAAATTCTTCTCTACATGCCAACAGATTCCAACTTAAATGTTCGTAAAATTGAGCTTCCGGCTTGTGGATTCAAAAGTTTATCGTGAAGACTGGTACCCAGCCACTTAATTTTCAAGCGCATCTTTCCCGTTTGACAGAAGGGCCTAACTTGCCTTTAATTTTATGTTTTATTACTTATGAATTAAAGAACACTTTCATTAAGAGTTAAAACTTTGTCCGTCACTCCCTATATCTGAAAAGAGGGTGGTAAAGGGTTATAATCGTGCAACTTGTTTTGCCATTTTTATTTCACGTGCAGCTGTGAAAACAGGTTCGTTATTCACCGTGTTTCGTGAAATCGGTAAAAAGATCAACGTGCAAGACATTTTTAATTGTTCGTTCATCGTGAAATGGCAATGTTATTTCGCGTTCTTCCGTGCAGGAACGCCCCCTTTTACGTCCCTCTGAAAAAGCTTTCATTATTTAATAATAATAAAAAAGTGCAATCACCATTATCTTATGATTGATTTAAAATGGCCATTAATTCTCGCTCATTGATAATCCAAGTTTAATTAACCACTTGACCATGCACCAATACCCTGAAATTTCATATTACTATACAAATCCTATGGTACAGCGTTGACACGTTTATTAGTTGGCACATCCAAGATATTACCTTCACAGCATTTTTCTAGATATGTTTATATCTATGACCCACTCTTTGAGACCTAGCCTAAATATGACGAAAGTGCTATATATAACGAAAACAGCGGAGAAATGGATTAAATAGACTTGCTATATTGTACAAACTAAAGAAGGTCGGAGTTGAACTAAACCCGAAAAATTCAGTCTCTCCCCGTAATCGATTTCTCCTATATACTTGTTAATGAAGTAATCGTAGATCAGCGGAATATGACGACTGAATTATTAGGGTAGGTGCAAATAAAAGTCTGAATTAACCAAATATGTAGTTTCATAAGGAGGGACCTGGACAACCTGCCCCCATCCCACCCCCCTAAATCAGCCCCCGAGTTGTCATACGTATTGACCGTTCTTGGCGCACACACGGTTTTCATTGCCTTTGTGTATTTTTGTATAAATAAAAAAAATGATTATAGTACTTAATTCAATCCATTTTCTTGAGACATATTACAAGTACACGAATCATAAATTTTCTACGTTTTTATAATTTTGAACACAGCGTATGTCCTGGGACCTGACCTGAAATATACATGAAACATAGAAAATTCATGATAGTAACGCGTATAGGAGCAACATTTAAATTCAAGGGGTTAGGGGGTTTGGTCTGAGTCAGAAATCATTTGGAACACAACGTTATTCCCCACTGTTACCAAGCAATTTTTTTCTCAAAATAAACGGTATGGGGAAATCTGGAATTCAGAATATTTTTTTTGTCATCTGCCTGACCAAAATATTTTTTTCTCTCATCAAATTGGGGATCAGAATATGATTTTATGAGGGGAAAAAAGCAGTCACCCACCCCTTTGAAGTTAAATGGTTGTCTTAAGAATTAATTAAATTGATATAGGTATGGTGTTTCAGGGGGGCTATCAGGGATTTGGAGTACTTGTATTCGGGATTATTTTTATAATCTGAATATAAAATAAGTGGTACAAATATATAATTACATTAGATGTATGTTTCATTATAATACGTTATTCTTAGTGGCTAACTGAAATCTCGCGTTATTCCTTAATCAACTTCATTACACAATGAAATTTATCATTCATGATGACACGAGATCCAACAGTAAAGTGCACAGGCAAATTAAATAAAATAAAATGCTTCGCTGGGCGCAGCTTGATACGACCGCAGAGGTCGAACCCTGAACAGTTGGGGCAAGTATGGACACAACATTCAAGCTTGATACAGCTTTGGATTTGGATTGTGATTAAATATTTGACACAGCATAGGTTTCTAACACAGATTGAATGTGGTCTAAGAACTTAAAAATTTTAAATTGGACATTCACCTATTATGGTCCAATATCCAAAATCTAAATACATGGTTAGATTCAGCATATCAAAGAACCCCAAGAATTCAATTTTTGATGAAATCAAACAAAGTTTAATTTTGGACCCTTTTGACCTCAATGTGGACAAAGTTGATAACGGGGCACAAAAATCAAAAATCTAAATACATGGTTAGATTCAGCATATCAAAGAACCCCATATATTCAATTTTTGTTGAAATCAAACAAAGTTTAATTTTGGACCCCGATTTGGACCAACTTGAAAACTGGGCCCATAATCAAAAATCTAAATACATGTTTAGATTCAGCATATCAAAGAACCCTAAGAATTCAATTTTTGTTAAAATCAAACTAAGTTTAATTTTGGACCCTTTGGACCTTAATGTAGACCAATTTGAAAACGGAACCAAAAATTAAGAATCTAAATACACGGTTAGATTCGGCATATCAAAGAACCCCAATAATTCAATTTTTGATGAAATCAAACAAAGTTTAATTTTGGACCCTTTTGACCTCAATGTGGACAAAGTTGATAACGGGGCACAAAAATCAAAAATCTAAATACATGGTTAGATTCAGCATATCAAAGAACCCCATATATTCAATTTTTGTTGAAATCAAACAAAGTTTAATTTTGGACCCCGATTTGGACCAACTTGAAAACTGGGCCCATAATCAAAAATCTAAATACATGTTTAGATTCAGCATATCAAAGAACCCTAAGAATTCAATTTTTGTTAAAATCAAACTAAGTTTAATTTTGGACCCTTTGGACCTTAATGTAGACCAATTTGAAAACGGAACCAAAAATTAAGAATCTAAATAAACGGTTAGATTCGGCATATCAAAGAACCCCAATAATTCAATTTTTGATGAAATCAAACAAAGTTTAATTTTGGACCCTTTTGACCTCAATGTGGACAAAGTTGATAACGGGGCCCAAAAATCAAAAATCTAAATACATGGTTAGATTCAGCATATCAAAGAACCCCATATATTCAATTTTTGTTGAAATCAAACAAAGTTTAATTTTGGACCCCGATTTGGACCAACTTGAAAACTGGGCCCATAATCAAAAATCTAAATACATGTTTAGATTCAGCATATCAAAGAACCCTAAGAATTCAATTTTTGTTAAAATCAAACTAAGTTTAATTTTGGACCCTTTGGACCTTAATGTAGACCAATTTGAAAACGGAACCAAAAATTAAGAATCTAAATACACGGTTAGATTCGGCATATCAAAGAACCCCAATAATTCAATTTTTGATGAAATCAAACAAAGTTTAATTTTGGACCCTTTTGACCTCAATGTGGACAAAGTTGATAACGGGGCACAAAAATCAAAAATCTAAATACATGGTTAGATTCAGCATATCAAAGAACCCCATATATTCAATTTTTGTTGAAATCAAACAAAGTTTAATTTTGGACCCCGATTTGGACCAACTTGAAAACTGGGCCCATAATCAAAAATCTAAATACATGTTTAGATTCAGCATATCAAAGAACCCTAAGAATTCAATTTTTGTTAAAATCAAACTAAGTTTAATTTTGGACCCTTTGGACCTTAATGTAGACCAATTTGAAAATGGAACCAAAATTTAAGAATCTAAATACACAGTTAGATTCGGCATATCAAAGAACCCCAATAATTCAATTTTTGATGAAATCAAACAAAGCTTAATTTTCTGACCCTTTGGACCTCAATGTGGACCAATTTAAAAACGGGGCCCAATATCCAAAAACTAAATACACGGTTAGATTCAGCATATTAAAGAACCCCATGAAATCAAGAATAAAACCCCATTGAAATTGGTCAAGAAATAAGCAATTTATAGGAAGTATCTTCTTTTGCACAATCCTGTGCTATTAAATATTTCTTGCTATTGCGCAATACTGTACAATTGACAATTTCTTGCTATTGCGCAATATTGTGCTATTGGATATTTCTTGCTATTGCGCAATACTGTGCAATTGAAGATTTCTTGCTATTGCGCAATACTGTGCAATTGAAGATTTCTTGCTATTGTGCAATACTGTGCAATTGAAAATTTCTTGCTATTGCACAATACTTATTATATAATAATTTACACATCCTGTTTGGTGTGTATCTCCTACCATATCATTATTATTTGATTTTAAATATAAATCAGAAATAACCAACTTAAAATGGAAAATTTTAAAAGAAACAAAAAAGGAAAAAAAAAAAAAAAGGAAAAAAAAATAAATCCCCCCCCAAAAATTTTTGAACCCCCATTATGATTCATCACCCCCAAACTCAATCCCAGCCTTCCCTTTGTGGTATGGTACCTTGCAGTACAATTTCAGAGAGATCCATACACTTGAACACAAGTTATTGTCTGGAAACTAGAAAAAAATGTGTTTTTTGGCCCCTTTTTGGCCCCAAATTCCTAAACGTTTAGGGCAATTACCCCCAAACTCAAACCCAGCTTTCCCTTTGTGATATGGAACCTTGTAGTACAATTTCAGAAAGATCCATACACTTACACACAAGTTATTGTCATGAAACTAGAAAAATGCTTGTTTTTTGCCCCTTTTTTGGCCCCTAATTCCTAAAATTTGGAGGCAATTACCCCCAAAATCAATCCCAGCATTCCTTTAGTGATATGGAACCTTGTGGTACAATGTCAGAGAGATCCATACACTAACACACAAGTTATGTCTGGAAGTTACAAAAATGCTTATTTTTGGCCCCTTTTTGGCCCCTAATTCCTTTACTGTTATTACAATAACCCCCAAAATCAATCCCAACCTTCCTTTTGTGGTATTGAACCTTGTGGTAAAATTTCATAAAGATCCATTCACTTAAACTAAAGTTAGAGTGCGAAAACCAATGTGTCTTCGGACGACGCCAGACGACGCCGGACGACGACGACGACGACGACGACGACGACGCCGGACGACGACGACGCCAACGTCATACCAATATACGACCACAAAAATTTTTTTGCGGTCGTATAAAAATGATAAAAATCGTGTTTTCATGATCCTAGCTAATTAACAATGTAATTATAAGTATTGGATGCTTCTTTTTGTAACTTCATAGGGGTGTAAAAGCATTGACCGTGCGCACATTTTTAGAATGAAGCGCTTCCGCGCTTCATACAAAAGGTACTTCGGCCAACGCTTTTACACCCAAATGAAGTTACAAAAAGAAGCATTCAATTCTTAAATAAAAAAAAAAAACATTTGGAAATCAACTTGACAAGATATCAGAAAACGGGAGCGATGAGAGATCGATTATTAATTACATTGAAGCTATCCTCGACATACAAAAAATAACTAAATAAGTTGTCTAATTTGTTGACAAATATAAATATTCGTGGTAAAAAAAAGACAAAACATTGCGTATGAGGGTCTACATGGAGTTAACAGAATAGACAATTCGGGCAAATCTGATGAAAAAAAAAAACGAAAATTCGTAGTTATAGGAAATTAACCCAACGAACAGCAATTGAAATCTCCTCCCCATCAAATTGTACCTCACGACCTGTATAATGCTGGAAGTGGTTTAATGTGCTTTTGGAACACCCTTTAAAAATATGAGTAGGGTTCTGCAGGCCACGGCTTAGGTAGCACTTCACAGTTAGAAAATAAAATTAAAATTGAGCCACAGAATGTTTAATAATCTTCCGATCCTGGCCTTCTAATACATTAGGCCAACTGCAGCGCTTGTGTCATACATGCGAAACTACACACCTATCTATGGAGTGCTACCTTACTCGAATGCTCCCGATACAGTTATGCTGATGAAGATATAATGAAACTAATAGAACCGGGAGTTTTTAACGACCTTGACTGGCTATACATATATATGGAAGTTTTTAACGACCTTGACTGGCTATACATTGCTCGGTCGGCTATATAGGGGGAATGGCACGGTGCCCACCCCCTTTTTGTTGGAAAATAAATGTTGATTATATAGGGAATCACTTAAGAATGATTAGCAGTTAGTGCCCCCTCCCCTTATATAAAAAAATCTGGATCCGCCACCGAGAACAAGTTAAACTAATACAAATAATGCCGAAAATGGAACATCTCAAGTATATAAGGTAATCACACTCCCACTCCCGAAACAAAAAAAAACCGTCATGTTATTGCAATCTAATAACAGTTATTTAATTCGCTATATTATTGTTTTCATTAGTTTACAAGTTGTGACCTTCGAAATTGTTTTATTTAATTTTCCTATAGACTTTTATGGTAACCCCCTTTGCCCCTAAAAAACAAATAAAATAAAGTTTCCCTCCCACAAGATTCAAAACTTAAACGTTGATTTGAAAAAAAAACTTGATTTTAGATTTTCGGTTATGAATTGAAATGAACCTTCTAGAGCCTCAACTTTAACGCGCACAATAATGTCAATCATTACACATCAAATTTAACCCTAAATTGACATTCCACAATCGGTCAGTAACATCACCTGTGTTTATAGTTACATGATATTTCCCGCCGTTGGAAAATCTCGTGCAGTCGACACAATTGATCTGAGTTATTTTTAACATTCTCTTTTGTGAGCGAAGTCAAGTTTCAGATCAAGTTGATTACAGATATTTTTGGCGTGCATTATTTCATTATTTAAAATGTTCGGTCTACATTCGTTACAGTCTAATTTTTAATTAAAAGAAACGTAACATCATTTCTTTTTTTTTTGTTGGCAATTATAGTAAATTAATCTCATCCCGGAATGTATATAATATACACTTTAACATTACACCTGAAAGTGCTTTATAATAAACGGAGAAACTGTCTAACAATTAAAATTTAAAAGAATATTATCTCTCAGGCTTATTTTAAGATGAGTGATTGTTGGTTGCTTAACTTCCAGTGGCAAATATTCCATGCATGTCGGGACGAACTTAGTTTTAAGATCGCACTCTCAAAAATAATTGAAAAACAATAATGATCAGAAAAACTTTTATTCATGTAAAATAACCCTCCAATCTTTTAATTAGAACTTATTTATTTTTCACAATGTAACAGATTAGTTAACAAGACGTGCATTGAGGTATACATGTACGCAACTTTCATATCTTTTAAATGGAACTTTTTTGTCTAAAAGACAACCTACGAGTTAGCGAAATCGAGTTTGAAAGGACTGCATTGTGCATAAATACATATACATATTATGAAACGACGGCCGGTGTATTACCAACATACTGCTATACCAGTTGACCCCTGATATCAACTAAGGTTAAAACTTTCCCCTGTCCGTCAGAAATGTAAAGCTTCAATTCAATGTTGACACCTGTATCAAATAAACAGATGGTTCATTGTATTTAGTTCCAATAAACGGTTCTTTTTGTATAACCACAGTTGAATAGTAATTCAATTAAACAAATGACGGATGAACTAATTAATTATGAATATGAAATAATGTCCAAATGTTCCTATATACTAGTATACACATTCGGACTACAATTCGCAACTTGTTATTATCTCATCGAATCATGTTGTTTTGTTTATATATGCCTTCAACCCTAGGAGTATAAATGTGCATTTCATTAATAAAGATTAATGGATCACACAGGTAAATCAGATCGTAGTAAAAATTCATATTTGCCAATGAAATTTAAATGATCTCTGGCCTCGGACATATACACATATTTTTTTTCTATTAAACAAGTCTCAAATCAGTATGTGACATCTTGCCGGATTACGGCATCTACAGTAATAAGACTATTAGTACAGGAACTGATTTCTTTTCTAAACATGACAATAAAGAAGAATTTTATAAGGTGAGAATATTTGTAGTTGTGTATTTCAAAGTTACCGCGTGTATTCATCCTGTTCATCGGTCACATTAAAATAGATTTTTCTTTATTGAACAATAACCAAATTCGATATTTAAATATTAAGTAACTTTATTATCTCGACTGAAAAGGGTAACCTTACCTTACCTCTGTATCTTTACCCCCTTCAAAGGAGAACCACACAGGTTCTGTGTGTTGAACAGGTGCTTTGGGTGGCGGTGCTCATTATTTACAATGGTGCTGTGAATGTGGATCCCATCACCACAATTTATCCATGAATTTTTGGATCATCCTTCCACCATTATGTACATTATTTACATATATGAGTATCGTTAAAGATAGTATTTGCAATCCGCAACGACACCTCCCGACATTTTAAAAAGTTATTTATGTTATAATTAAAAGTTCATGGCGATTTTTTCAAAGTTAAAACAAGTCTTTCCACACGGGATTTTGCGGTAATATATAAAAGCGACGCCTTATTAATCGTTTAGAATCTAAAATCCCCTCACTATCACATACAGAATATAAATAGAGCGGCTTTGCCTGGTTAAAACGTATCATAGTTAAAGTTCAATGTTCTAAAAATATTTGCTTTTTAAAATCTAAAAGTTCAGTGTTCACACGGGATTACCATATCGTGATAAAAGTATATGTACGGTAAAGTCTAAAAGTATGTTCACTAGGAATCTGTAGGCAAGCCGGTGGTTTATGACCCAGAGCGATGGTCTCCCTACCCCTCCCCCTCTCCATGCTAGTTTATCTTCTACGCTGTGCCTCTAATTCCTTTCGTCCAACAGTACGTTTCTCTTTATATGCAGCTTGAAGAAAAGGTTTCTGGAATGGTTTTCCAAACGGGCTGCGCTGGCTGAGTTATATTTATTTAGGTTGATGAGTTTTGCACTGTCAAGGAGCAATTGCATTTGTGTTGTGATGTTCAAGTCATGGAATCTTGTGGTGTTATTCATTTCATTTTGCCATATGTCATTCACCTCTTTAAGTATCACTGTTCTAACGGACTGCAGCTTCTCGCATTGCATTACAAAATGTTCTAGCGTTTCCTCTTGCATTCCACAAAGCAGGCAGGTCGGATCTGTTTCTTGTCTGTAGAATTGAATCCGTTTTGTTTGGAGTACATAAGTTCCAGTAATAAGGCGTAATCTGGTAGGGATTCTGCTGTTGTCTAGCGCGGAGTGACTCTTGTGTTTGAGGATTGGGTGAAGTTTTCCCTTGATTAGGTTTTGATTGCTCAGGTACTTGAGCCCTAAGTATAGTTCAGACATTTGTACAATTTTGGTGCTCCAGTATTTCATCACAGCGTTCTTAATCAATGTGATCCACTGAGTTTTCTTTATTGGATTGGCCAAGTAGGTATTCGCTTCGTTGAGATCGTATAGACGTAGCAACTTGTTGATGTTTATGAACCAGCTATTACTAGCCTCACTGCAGACTGTCAGTTGTCTCCTGGCAAGCTTTTTCTCGGTGCTCTCTTCTGATTGGTGGCAGACATTGTTGAAGAAAGTTAGTGTCTTGATGTGGATTTGGGCTTCAATCGGGAGAATTCCTGTGAGTATGTAGACTGCTGGATCAGGGCATCTTGTTGGCAGCGATAATATCTGTTTAAGCATTCTTTTTTGGAAGATCTCAAGTTGTTCAAGTGGCTTACTGGATGGGGTTAGTAGTTCCATTCCGTAGAGTAGCACGGGAAGTATATACGTCTTGTAGATGTGCAGTAGCGACTCAGGGTCCAAGCCATTATGTCCATGAAAACCAGATCCAAGTAGACTGTATGCACTCCTTCTTGCCTTTGTTATATTTTCGTTGGTGTTACTTTGTATGTTGTTCTTCCGAGTTGTAGTTCTGATGATCCCAAGGTGTGTAGACTGCTCAACATTCGGCATAGGTGTGTTTCCCATCATCAGGTTATCTTTTTCCAGTTTGGTGTTATTGCTGTTACCGCTTATTTTAATTACTACACTTTTCTTTGGCTGCAGCTGGTATCCTTCTGAGTTGGCAAAGTCAAGGGCCATGTTGACCATAATTTGAGCATCAGTTAATTGTGTACTCAATATTGCGACATCGTCTGCACATCCGGTGTTGTTTGTGTTGACATTCCCTATAGTCATGCCGTAGGTTGTATTTTGGAAGTGGTCTAACAAAGGGTTGATGTATAACTTGTACAGGTCTGTACTCAGTATGCCTCCTTGCCTGACACCCATGCCTACTGTGAAACGCTCTGATGTTTTTCCGGACCATTTTATGCTACTTTCTGCGTTTTGATGCAGACTCTTAATGATTGTCCATGTCCTGTCTTGAATCCCAGCATGATACATCCTGCGGAATAGATGTGAGTGCACCACAGTGTCAAAGGCAGCTTTTGCGTCCAGCAAGACAAGATAACCGTTTTGCTTATTGTCGGTGAGAATTCGGTACATTTCCTCCACAGGAAGGGCTGCATTCATAGGGGAGGATCCTTTGGTGAATCCTCTTTGAGTTGGGTTTTGCACCTTCTGCACTTTTGGTTGTATCCGGTCTCTAACGATGGCCTCTATTATCTTGCTCACTACGGGTAAAATAGTTATCCCTCGGTAGTTTAATGCATCATTTTTGCTGCCTTTGTTCTTAAATATAGGAGAAAGCAGTCCTATTTTCAGAATTTTTGGTATATCTCCTTCTGAAAATATAATGTTAATGAGTTGAGTGAGGGCGGACAACATATTTTCTCCAGCATATATGAAATGTTCAATAGTTATATTGTGGTAGTCTGCAGATTTTTTCCTATTTATTGTAGATATAGCTTTGTGGACTTCATTTTCTATGACAGGGCGTATCGATTCTTGGTCTACCATTTTGCAGATATTGCTTATTTCCATTTCCACTTGGAAGTGGTACTCAGGGTTGCTGAAGGCCTCTTCTTTAAGTGTAGACAGAGTACAGAAGTGTTCCTTGAATCCCTCTATGACTTTATCTCCCGAGAATATCTCGCCGCTAACGTTTATATCCTGTATGTGATCAATTCCCTTCCTACGGTTCTTTTGGACTAGTTTGTGGAAGACCTCCATGTTATTAGATCTTGCTTCCATGATACTCTCTTTTTCTGCCTCCAGTTGCCTTGCTACTGCTATGCGTACTGTTTTCCTAAATTCCTTTTTTCCTTGCTTTTTCCTGAGTGTTAGAGGGTTTGTGGGGTCGTTTGGTCTCCCCCCTTTTTGCCATTCATTGTACGTAATCCGTTTTTCCTTCAAAGCGTTCTTTATGTCACCATTCCATACTTTGAGCTTTGGTCTCGAATGGTAAATTGTTTTATTTCCTGATGAAGTTTGTGATGCTGTTGTGAGTATGTCATTCATCCGCTCAATTACTTCTTGTGACTCTAATGAATCTGTAATCATGGATTCTTGCAACTTCAGTGCCTCGTCGTCTGTTATTGCTTTATACAGATCCTTGTCTACCTTGTCCCATTTAATTTTGAAGTTCGGACGGGCTTTCTGGTTCATATCAAGTTTCTCATGCTTCCAGTTTATACTCATACTGATTGGATAATGGTCTGAGACGTTGGTTTGGCATTTGAGGATTGATTTTCCCTTCTCTAGTATGTCTGGTGTTAAGTTGTGTAGGAAATAGTCGATTTCAGAGCATTCGCATCCCTTTGAGTTGACGAATGTATTTCCTATGTTGTCGAATTCCAATTCATTTTCGTTTATAAATTTCTTCACGTACTCCTTTCTCTGGTTCGTTGGTTTTCCAGCGTTAAGGTCTTCGTTAATGTCTCCACCTATAAGAATGTGGTGAGTACTGTTGTATTTTTGGCATATCTCGTGCAGTTCGTCTATGCACTCTTGATATTCTATTTGATGGTTTTTGCTCCCGTTTGATGGTAGATACACGCTAACAACCAATATTCGCCTAACTGCGTTCTCAAGTTCAATACACTGTATTTTTTCCGATCCGTCGGGAAGAGGCCTAATGAGATGATTTATGTTTCTGTTCCAAATGATTCCCACGCCACCATATCCTCTGGGCATTGATACTGGAAGAATTGGTTCGTTCATATCCACCCCCTTGGCTGCAAAGTTTATGTTAGAGTTGATGTCCGAGATCATATGTGTTTGTGAATGAAAAAGCCAATGTTCCTGAATTAAGATGATATCATTTTCCTGTAGAGTAACAGTTTTTTTTTATCTGACTGTAAACATTGTATATATCACAACGAGCTATTAATAACCGTCGCTCACGCACCAATAGTTCTATTGACGACTCAATACACACCAGTTTTATCGGACCAACGGCTAATTCCCGTCGACACTGTATAATGGATTATGTAAACATCTATATACAACGATCTATTAATAACCGTCGCTCACGCATCACTGGTTCTATCAATGACTCAATACACACCAGTTTTATCGGACAAACGGCAAATTCCCGCCGACACGGTAAATCTCCGGATGACATGCATAATTTTCTGTGACACAGCAAATTTACGATGAACCTCTAATTATTTTCCGTTCCGCGCAGATTATCCAAAAATCGCGGTCATTTGCCAAATAGGTCTACCAGTGAAGCATTGTGTATAAGTTTCATAACATTTGGTTGAGGCAAACTTAAGTTAGAGAATGGAAACTAAAAATTTTGCAATTTTTCCATATATAAACGGGCATAACTCTAGAACGGTTAAAGTGATGCCACCAAAATTCAAACTTGATCTGTGTTTTGTGGTAATAAGCATTGTGTATAAGTTTCATAACATTTGGTTGAGGCAAACTCAAGTTAGAGAATGGAAACCAATTTTGGGACGTACGTGTGTACAGACGGACAAGGGTAAAACTTAATGACCCCACCTCTACAGCGGGGGCATGAAAATACCAATGAACTCTAAATCGTTAACTTTTTTATTTTCCTGCATTTGTGCAAAAACCTTTTTTTTTCCTTCCGGTCTCGTTTGTCATGGGACTTTGAGTAAAATATAGGAAGGAGCTTCATATTGTTTCCCGCAAATTTGTTGTTTTTGATAACCGTTTAAAGATATACATGTAAATTTTAACAAATGTTTTTTCAAAATTCTTTGATATGAAAAAAAGATGTTACCTGGTGATAGCATTTCTTTGTTTACATTTAAAATGACGTCAGAACTGAATTCTATAGATATGATGTGAAAATCCATGGATGGTACTAGCGGGATTCGAACCCTCAATCTCAGGATCTAAAGGCAGCGTTCTAACCAATTGAACCAAAGAAGATCTTTCCTTACTCAACTAGTTACTCCATCCTTTATATCTCCAGGTCTACAACACTCTTCCCCCTTTTCTTTTTTCGGGGCTGCGTACCATCCATCCGAGCAACTCGCAGGTCCACTACTGTACAAACCCGAGAGATCTACTCGGAAATCCTCTGGCCAGTTCCACCTAGATATGTCACGGTCATCCACACATGACCATAACAAACTGCCAGGCACCTATATATATATATACACTTGTATGCACAAGTAGTAATTCACTAATTGCTTGCAGCACCAATGATGTGAAAATCCATGGATGGTACTAGCGGGATTCGAACCCTCAATCTCGGGATCTATAAGGCAGCGCTCTAACCAATTGTGTCAAAGAAGATCTTCCCTAACTCAACTAGTTAGACTACCTTTTTTTTAATTTATATCTCCAGTAGTCTACAACAGATACAACGTGACCAACATCCGAAAATGTTTCTGTATTTCCGTTGCTTTTTCAACAGATTCTGAAGTTAAGTATTGTTGAATTCATCAATAAATTTATACAGATTTCGTCCCTTTTCACAGGTAACACCTGCCTCATATTAATTTGTTTATTAAGGTGAAATATCAAAAAATACGAACTAAAACTAATTAAACCTAAAAAAAAAATGGAATAAGGGGGTCCATACCCCAAGCACCCGTGAACTACATATGTTTGATACTGGGAGGGAAAAAGGGGGGTATTAAGACTAATCGCTACGTGACGGACGCGTGGTGTAATTATGTACATCGGACGTGTCGCCGTACCAGATCAAGATCAAAGATACGTGGTCACCAGGAATGTCTTACTGTGTTATGATTCAGTGAACCAACATTTCACAATCAGAATTTTATGTTTACCTAATGACATATCAACTTTTTCGTCTGCTGTTGCCATAATTCCTATTCTGCAGTTGTTCTGTTAGCAGATTTGATGTTTATCTGTTGTTTATGTTCTTGTCGAAGTGATGCTGGAATCAAAATGGCGCCTTGTGAGGTGGTTAAGTCGGCCCATATTACACTCGACACTTCACAAAATCATACCGCTAACAGTTCAAACTGGAGAAATTCGCGTATTCTAATCGTGGATGCAGGTAAAGTGTGTCATCTATCCACTCTTTATTTTTATAATCTTCCGAATTTTTAAGCTAAAAACAGAGAATAAACACCATATTAGTTCTAGCCATTGCATATTATTCAGTGATTACTTGGCCGTTTTTATAGTGATTTATATGATTACCAGACCTAATACTTCATGATTATTTGATTATTTGATAATCTAGGACTGTTTTTTTTATTATTTGATTATCTTGTTTAAAAAAATAATTAATGATTATGTGATTATATTGGCAAAACATTTGTGAATCATTGTGTGATTACTTGGACACACCCTTGAGGGGCCTCATAACTCAGTGTCACGGTCTTTACTACATAAAATTGCCTAGACAAATACATTTACTATTTTTACAAAACTGCCTGAAAAAAAAGAACATTACCCGAAAATAGTTTCAGAAACTATTTCCTGGGTATGAACTTTTCACTAGAAAAAGACTATTTACTGCGGGAAATAAAGCATTTTCCCGTACTTTCTGTATAATAACACACTTTTTTACTGGCCATTTAGACAATAGCAAGTTAAATTATTGTCCCATCGACTAACAACTATTTCACTCTCGAGGGCACTTGCTATGTAACTTATGTGTGGAGTGTATGACCAGTATATTTTCCAGATGGGTACAATATTTACAGAAATGACAGAAACTTAAGTGGAGGGGGAGTACTCATTGCCGTCAAAGACACATACATAACTTCATCAGTACCAGAACTTCAAACTGATTGTGAAATTGCTTGGTGCAAGATGGAAATTGTCGGGCATAAAACTGTCTATCTATCTAGTTACTACAACCCCAAAACATCAAACGAAAAGGGATATAATGAATATGGAATAAGCATTGAAAGAGCCAGTAAAATACGAAATGCATTCATTATATCAGCTGGTGATTTCAACCTACCAGGCTGGGATTGGACTAACAAAGAGATCAAGATGCACACCCAATGTGCAACAAATCATGAAAAATTTGCTGATATATTGGATGATAATGGGATGGCACAGCTTGTAAATAAACCAACCAGAGGACCCAATACTCTTGATCTTGTTGTAACAAATCATCCTGAAAGCTTCATGAGAGTTGAAACTTTACCTGGGCTCTCCGACCATGAAATCGTTTTCACAGAAGTTAATCTAAACCCCCGGAAATCTATTCAAAAACCAAGGATTATACCGTTATATAGAAAAGCAAATTGGGAGAATATGAAAATAGATATGAATAATTTACACCATGATATCACCCTAATGAATGAACAAAAGGCAGGAGTAAATACATTATGGACACACTTCCAAACCAAACTTGAAGAGAGCATAGAAAAAAATGTACCGAAAAAGACCGCTAGGAAAAAGGATGGTAGTCCCTGGATCACATCTGACATCAAGCGTCTCATACGAAAAAGAGACCGATGGTTCAAAAGAATGAAAAAATCTGGTAATGGAGGAGATAGAGACAAATTTAAAGAACTTAAGCGTCGTACACAGAGAGAAATTAGGAAAGCTTACTGGAATTACATCGACAGTATAGTTTCACCACCAGACCTAATTAAACCTCAAGAAAGACCAAACTGTATGAAAAGGTTCTGGACCTTTATAAAACACAAAAGATCAGATGGGAGTAAAATACCACCTCTAAAATCAAATGGAACTTTACATTCAGAGCCAACAGAAAAAGCAGACATACTCAATGGCCAATTTCAGAAAGCCTTTTCAGACAAAACCACCATAACAGAAAAAGAATTTCAAGAACAGTGTAACATGTCCGGAAACTTTGAACAAATCTTGGACATCAATATAACAGAAAATGGTGTGTACAAACTACTAAATAACCTTAATCCAAATAAGGCAGCTGGGCCAGACAATATAACACCAAGAGTCTTAAAGGAACTTGCATTACATATAGCACCAATACTGACAACATTATTCCGCTGCTCATATCAGACAAGCGAAGTACCTTGTATTTGGAAATCTGCAAACGTCTGTCCAGTGTATAAGAAAGGGAAGAAATACGATCCGATAAATTATAGGCCTGTCTCTCTCACTTGCATAGCATGTAAACTAATGGAGCACATCATAACTAGCCATATCATGTCTCATGCAGATACTCACAACATCATGTATCCACTTCAACATGGGTTTCAAAGGGGATTATCATGCGAATCACAACTGATTGAATTTATTGATGATGTAACTAAAAACTTAGATCAGGGGAAACAAACAGATTGTCTCATAATGGACTTCTCCAAGGCATTTGATAAGGTTAGTCATAGCCTTCTCATCCACAAACTGAAGCATTATGGGATAACCGGTAAAACAAATGAGTGGATAAACAACTTCCTCAGTGATAGAATACAGTCAGTAGTTGTAGAGGGTGAAACATCGACCTCCACACCTGTAGAGTCCGGCGTACCACAAGGATCCGTCCTGGGACCTAGCCTATTTTTGTTTTATATAAACGATATGCCCCAGGGGATTCAATCAACTGTGCGACTGTTTGCTGATGACACTATTGCTTATCTCACCATCTCATCCAATGCATATGCCGCAAACTTACAAAAGGACCTTGACCAACTGGCTGTATGGGAAACAACATGGCTTATGAAGTTCCATCCAGACAAATGTAATGTACTCACCATCTCCAAGAAGCGAACTCCATCAAAGTACAATTACACACTACATGGCCATAACCTCGAACATGTAACATCAGCTAAATACCTGGGATGCACTATTTCATCAGATCTTAAATGGGGGAAACACATATAAGCTCCATCTGCTCCAAAGCCAACAACACCATTAGCTTCTTAAAAAGGAATGTTAACATCTCAAACAAGTCAATTAAAGAAAAAGCATACATGTCCCTCGTCAGGCCTACTTTAGAATATGCTAGTGTAGTATGGGATCCATACCAACAAAACGACATCCACAGATTGGACATGGTGCAAAGACGGGCAGCAAGGTATGTTACTAACAGATATCACACCTCATCTGTTAGTAGCATGCTTGAACATCTTGAATGGTCTACCCTACAAGAACGAAGGAAACATAGCCGCTTAATAATGATGTATAAGCTACAAAACAACTTTGTTAAAATCGATACATCCAGTAAGCTAATACCGAATGAACGCCCTTCCAGAAATAATAACGAAAAGGCACTTAGAATACCATCGTGTAAAACAACTGTACGGAAGGAGTCGTTCTATCCCAGAACAATCAGAGCGTGGAACACCTTGCCCAACTCTACTGTCTCCGCCCTGAGTCCTGAATCCTTCAAGGCTCAGCTCCGTCATTAGATTAAATGCCATGTTTTTAATTGCACCTGTATATATATTAAATTGCACCCATTCTCTTTTTGTTTAATAAATTTCAAAAATATTTCATGCGCTCACTCCAAAATGTGGCAGAATAGTCAACCAGTTGACGGTGGCCGCTTACCGGAAGAAGAAGAAGTTGAAATAGCTAGGTCACCTTTTTCGATTTTCAGAAGATACATGTATGATAGGCACTATATGATAAGGTAGAGAAATAAGGAGGAAATATATGACAAGTCTAATCAGATGTGATTTATTTCACTGATCGATGCGATTAAAACTACAGTCGCAAAAACACGATATAGCTATAGGCCGTATATATCTATTTGTATAACTTGAAAATATATGATAGCTAAGGTATGTATTTTTGTTATTCAAATTATATGAAAAGTGTGGGGTATTGAGCGTCTCAGCTGCTCATCCCTACCATAAAAAAAGGTCGATGTGACCCCCCCCCCCCCTCAAGAGAATTCACTCCCGGCTTCACGTCGGGAATTAGTTGGTGTTTCGGGGACATTTACTTAATACCATTAACTATCCTGTATTTGCCACCATTTCAGATGAACCACTGGCACTGTTTGTCTTTTATCAGTGTAAATTCTAGTTGAATCCTTATGAATTGTCACAATATGTATCTCCTCGGACACGATAAAAAGAAAAACGGTGCACTTATAAAATCAGTTATAGATAAAATAATCAAACACATACTGTGTACACTGTACATACCCCACCAACACTATATCTACAAAATAAAAGTTCCCATTTTTGATGGCACTGCAACTTTTTAAAAGGTCAAGTTACAGCTGGGACTATTATACTATATATCAATATATTATGTCCCAGGTTACAGTAAATTGGCTATGTCACAGATTTTTGTAAAATTTTGCATACATCTTTGGCTCGTTGAATTATAACTGAAAATCGAAAAAAATAATGCATAATTTTTATATCTCTTTTTTTGTCTGAAATAATATTGATTGAATTCTTTCAAAATATGTAAATATATGTATAAAAAAAGCACATAAAATCGGCAAAAAACGTTCTTAAATTTGTCTTAAAATCATCAAATCTGCAATTTCAAGTACCTAGATTTTTCTTACAAACTATGTGTTGTTGGTACATAAATTTCCGTTTTGATGACGTAAAATAATAATGGGGTCGCCGACTTCGTTTTTACGGTATACATCATTCAAAGTAGTGTTCTAGGTAAAAAAAAAAATACCACAAAATGTCGAAATAAGCGTAATGTCGTCGCGTTGATTTTTGACGCTTTTCACTACCAACTAGGTAACGGATTGTTCAATAGACAAAAAGCGAAGTCGGTGACCCTATGATTATTTTATATCATTAAAACGGAATTTATGTATTAACAGCACAGTTTTTTTTAAGAAAAATATATGTACTTAGTACTTGAAATTGGAGATATGATGATTTTAGGACAAATTTAAGACGTTTTTTGCCGATTTTATGTGCTTTCTATACAAATGTCCTCCTATTTTGAAAGAATTCAAACAGTAATATTTCAGAAAATAAAAGAGATAAATGCATTATTTTTTCGATTTTCAGTTAAAGTTCAACGAGCCAAATTTGTATGCAAAATTTTACCAAAAT